ATGTTAAACTTCTTGTTTAGATCCCCCCCCATTTTTTTTTTTTGGTCATTCTGATGGCACTATTTTAACAGTGGTCCACTTTATGCTTTGAATTAGCCCTTGCTGCTCTGATATTGTGACTTGTTTTTAAAATGCACATATTTCTTTCTCTTCTTCTCTCCCTGCTCCTCCCTAATTTCTCCCCCTCCCTAATCTCAGGGGAAACAGTATTACCTTTCTATTTTTGATATATTTTTATTTGTTCTAATTATTTATATGACAGTAGAATGCATTTTGACACATCATATATAAATGAAGTATAACTTCTCATTCTTCTGGTTGTACATGATGTAGAGTTACACAGGTCATGTAATCATATATGTGTGGGGGGTAATAGAGACAGGATTATCTTTCTTCCCCATCCTAGACAGAATTATCTGTCCTTGAGCACACACCCACCACAGGAACAAGTAATTCAGACTTCGTGGGTGGCACCAGAAGGTCTTAGAAATGACTGTCTCCCAAATTAATGAGTGAATTACAACTCCAACAAAGAACACATGGAATGTAGCCTTTGAACCACTTCTTTAAAAGCCTCCTGTTCCTGCTGATGGGCAGAATCACAGCCTCTGGGACAGGAGTCCCTGTGTTTCTCCTTTGCTTTCAAAGCAATAAACCTTCTTTTCCTTTTTCTCAAAACTGTATCCTCATTATTGGATTGGCATCCAGACAAGGACCAACCTTTTGGTAACACTATAGTGTTAGGACTGTAAGTCAAGGAAGTAGAATATGACCGAAATTGGTAAACCAGATAGACCTTTATCTCTGAGTTGGAAGAAAACTTGGGGATTAACACAAACAAAAAACTTGGAGATCAATACATTTTTTAAAATATAGGTGAGAAAAAAATCAAAATCTAAAGAAAGGAAACGACTTGTCCAAGGCACCTACAGCTTGTCAGTAGCATAGCCAGAACTAGAATCTAGGCCCTGCCACTGCACTGTGCTTCTCTCTGGTCACATGGTCCATGGATGAAATCTGCTGCTGAGAAATAAGTGTTCATTTCTTTTTCAGTCCTTCTTGAGTTCTTCGGCTCCAGGGACTCTGGCCCACTTCCTTCTCCTTTCCTGGGCTGCGAGCTAAATCTCATTCTCTTGATCTTTGTCCTTGGTGACAATGTATAGCATGGAGCAAAAATAGCAGTTTGATTTTTTTCCCCATGTTCCAAGTTGAGCTTGAAGTGCTGGCAGTTTAAAACGAACTACACAAATAAATCTTGTTTTGACTCATAGTCCAGGGGGGTGGATAAATATGGAAACCCCCAAGATATAATTTTGCAGTCATTTTTTTTCTTAGCATAACAGCATACTTTAATGTGCTGAGAAATTTTTTTGTTCTGGCTCCAGAGAAATAACAGCACCATCCTAGCTAAGTGCTTTTTCATGCCTCCCAGCAAACAGATATTAACACACATACACACACACACACACACACACACACACACCCTACAACCACCAAATCCAGCAGCTGCGCATCCTGAGCTGAATGCCAATCCTCTGCTCCACGTTGACAGCTCTTATTATTTAAAGTCAGAGATGGGTAATCTTTTGAATTTCAACATATCTGTCTTCCCCAAAACTCAAATTCAGAGAAAGGCAGCTAAAATGATCGAAGGTGTAGAGAGGCTTCTCTGTCAGAAAGTCCTAGAACAGAAGTCACCTCTAGAACTCTATTTTATAGATAGAGATTAGCTCAGAGGAGAGGAAGCATCAGACAAGTCACAAATGGCAGAACCCCAGTCTCCTGAGCGGAGGTTGTGTGTCTCTGGCTGAGGAGCTAAGCTTTCTCATTCTGGCCTGTCATGCCCCTGAGATCTTTACTAGCATCCATAATGGTATCAACAACAGAGCTCATGTGGACCTGAAACTTGTTCACCAAAGCCCTAGAGGCTTGAAGGAGGTACACTTTGGACCTTGAAAGGGAAGTGTAGGGCTGGAGGCATAGTTCAATGGTGGAGTGCTTGCATAGTATGCATAAAGCTCTGGGTTCTACCCTCAATGACAGTGGGGGGAAAAGGGGTGTTGGGTCACCTAATGGATAATTATGAACCTCGTTATACCAAGTGGTGGACAGGTTGAAAACCTAGTTAGAAAAAAGAAAGGTATTAAAGTATAGACATAGTTCAAGACCTTTGGACTTAAAGTTGAAGAGGGTCATGAGACACCCAGTCCTTCCCTATGCTTCTGGGTCAGAGACTAACCTCAGGCCAACATGATGAGGACAGATTGCCTGTGATAACACACTCTCTGGCCTTATGTGTGTTCTCATTTATTTTTGCCATTTCTTTAGAGATGGACCGACTTCTCCTCTATCAGTGGCAGGCCATAGCCACCAGAGGGAAGGAAGTGACTTGTCCAGAGTGCTTGCATAAGAGGAACAATGCAGAGAACAGAAACCACAGCTTCAGCTGGGTGCTGTGCTTCTTTTTCTGTTCCTTCTAAACTCTTATTTTTATATCTAAGAATTGCTTTTTTAAAAAAGAAGAAGGAGGCTGCCCCCTTTTTTCCCACAAGAGACAGCACTGCTGTTCATGATGCATAGGGCCCAGAATTTGGGCTTATGACTTGTGCCCTACATTGTCCCTTTTGGTCATTCAGTCTCCCCTTTGCAAGTGAGGAAACTGCAGCCATCGCGCATGCCAAGTAATAACAAAAATGCAGGTTAGAATTCTACCCTGTGATTTTCAGTCTGATGCTCATCTTTTTAGAGAGTTTGCATGTCAAGAAACCCCACAAGCCTTAGTCATTCTTCACACATAAATCTACAAATATATCTTTCTCATGTGCTCTAAACAGCAAGCCTTTTGGCCCAGTTCCCTGTTTCCTCCTCTTTTCTTCCTTTTCAGTGAAAAACTCTTCACATAAGTATGCAGTCTCACGTACAGTTGGAGAAAGGGGAGTAATCCCATTAACTAAAACTCTGGCTAATAGGGAGCCATCAAGTCTATATGCCATGAGTGTGTTACTCACTTTCAGATAATTGGAAGATGATACAATCTACTTGACACATCAACAACAGTGCACACAATCAAATTAATTAATTTATTTAGATACTGGGGATTGAATCCAGGGATGCTTGATCATTAAGCTGCATCCTCAATACTTTTTTAAAATTTTCCATTCTGAAACAGAGTCACACTAAGTTGCTTAGGCCTTGCTAAGTTGCCGAGGCTGGCCTCCCTCTTGCGATCCTCCCGCCTCAGACTCCCAGATCCCTGGGATTACAGACATGAGCCACCATGCCCAGTTTAATTTATTTTTGATGAATCAGAAGACACTGTAAGACCTTGAAGTGCCTTTGAGTCATCATTATGCACATTAATTACCATCCTACCAATGGATGCCATTTTTAGAGAGTTCTATTTAGTAAGACACTAAGAGGCAGAGAGTTCATTGGAAGTAAGAATCTAGACAGAAAGGTGAGAGAATTGTGGAGCCATGTACTGAACAGTCCCCACAACTCAGTGACTTCATTGTCGAATGTTCTTCTGTTTTCTGTGAGCCTAATGTTCTCATTTAGTAAATGAGAATTTTTTTTTCTTCTACTACTTAACTGCAATAAAAACAAATGTACAGATTAAGGAAACATTGAGGCTTTAATTTGAAAGGTAATTGCATTTAAACTTAAAATAAGTATGCCTTTCAGATGGACTTTAGACATCTATTAGAAATGCAGCAGTAAAGTAGCTAAAGTATTAGCAAAACTGTAACTGCTTATAAGCTTCTGTTATCCTGTGGCCCCCTGTGTTTAGTAAAACATTTAGCTATGATGAATAACTATTCGTTACTAAATTATGATTAAAAGCCTCTAATTAAATATTTCACAAAGTAAAAATAACAACCTTCTTAAATGTGAACATTACCATATTTCCTCACTGAATAGCTGTAAGTCCTGGGGCCTTTGTTCTCATGCAGTATCCCCTCTCAAGGAAGGGCAGAGACCCCGGCAAGCAGGCCCCTGGCTGATGTGCCACAGTCAGTGCAGGAGTAAATAGAATCAACACCTTGAATGAACCCAAGAAATGCCACTGAGGGGCGGCTTGGTGGTGCGGTGCCAGCCCTGAGTTCCATCGCCAGCATCAGCTGCTGTAGCCACATGGTTCTTTCTGGTGCAGAACTTTCTTTAGAATCACAGCACCCAGTGACATAGATCTGTAGTGCCCACCTCCAGTTAGGCACACGGCAGTCATTTTTGGAGCTCTGTGGGCCCCATACAGTGAGTCAGATTTGGATCCAACCCTCAGGGAGTTTAGGTATCAACAAGGTCTCTGGATATAACCACTTTTATTTTTCGGTACCAGGGATGGAACCCAGGGGCACTTAATCACTAAGCCACATTCCCAGCCCTTTTTTATATTTTATTTAGAGACAGGGTCTCACCGAGTTGCTTAGTGCCTCACTAAGTTGTTGAGGCTGGATTTGAACTTGCAATCTTCCTGCTTCAGCCTCCTGAGGCACTGGGTCTACAGGCGTGCATCAACACATCCGGCTGGACATACCACTTCTAATCAAAGCGGCCTGAAAAACAGACCCAAACCATGTTGATTAATTGCCTTGATCCATTTTGGCTCCTTAGACCAAGTTTGGTCACTTAGGAATGCCCTCGAGATGAGCCCTGGAAAGAACCTGCCAGCCATTCTTGTCAACACTCCCCTTGTCCTGCTGCCTCCCCTCAGCACACCTGGGAGCCCACAGGCTCTGTTCAGATCCAGGGAGAGTGGTGAAAGGAGAGCAGGCGTCACAAAGAGACCAATAGGCAGGTCCAGGCTTCTTGCAGAAGCATGGTGAACTGAGGCTATCAGACAAGATGGCCCTTCTCTCAGGTCTTGGTCACAGTTTTGGCAGCTCTCAAACCAGGGCACTCTCAAACCACATTGTATCTTTCCAATCAGCACTGTAAGCCTGCCCACCTGGGCTCTCCTATGGATGCTTCTCTCAGCTGAGGGATTCTCTGTTCTGTAGGAAGCTGTGGGAGACCATGTTCCCATTCTTCTGCTGGGCAATAAACTTGACAACGAGAAGGAGCGAGAAGTCCCCCGAGGCCTCGGAGAGCAGCTTGCCAAGGTAAGAACCAGAATTACCATCTCTCAGACTCCAAGAACCCAAGAGCCTTGATGGGAACTTCTGGAAGTCCCTTGAGAAGGAAGCAAGATGAATGTCTCAGCATCATGGGAATAGCCTGACTTCTATGCATTGAGCATTTTCCATAGAAAGACACATATCATCAGAAGGAGTTGGCTGAGGACAACTGGGAATGGGCAAATATCCTAAATCCCAATCCTTGGAATGTAGAATCATAAATTATATAATCGATAGTGAGGTCACTTATTTCAATCCCCCACTGAGGCTTGAACCCCATCATCTGTGTCACTCCTTGATTACTCTCAAAGATGAAAAATTCTATCTATCTTCAGGGCAGTTTGCTTTTCTTTGGACTGCTCTGCTCATGAGTCCTCCTTTCTGTCAAGATGGAGCCTCAAAATTAATTCAGGGCAGGCATTGGAAAGTCCACAATCAGCATCCGCCCCCTGGCCCAAGAATGGGACCAGCAGGGCCTAATGGAAACCAGGCCATGAGGCAGTGCTTGCTTGTTGCTGGGCGTCTTTTTGGCCTCTGTTTGGTTTTCATGGAGCTGTGTATCTGGGAGGATACACATGCATACTGGCCAACCCTGAGATTTTACAGTTCTTTGTGCACTTGGCCTAAACAGGAAGTCATGAGCTCAGAGCCTGGGAAAGGAGCACAGGGAGTAAGACCCAAGAAGAAAGGATAGAGACCAGGCTGGCAGGTGACTAGGTGAAGGGTCTACATGTGGTTACATGTCTACAATTCTGAAATCCAAAGCACTCTGAAGATACAAAGTTTCCTTAACGTTTCATCTGGCAGGAAAATCTGACTAGAACTGACATGGGGCTTTACCTCACTTTGAATGAATGAATATTCAAATGTCTCACTGAAGAAATGCTAATTTATTTGATTATAGAGTGCAGTCCCAGATCCCCTGAGGACATTTTATAATATATAGTATATACATGCATTACCTTTCAAAATTCAAAAAATTCTGATTCCCAAAATATAGCTAGATCTAAAGATTTTGGTTAAGAAACTGCAGACCTATATAATTATTATTCCATTTTCTTTTCTTCTTTTCTCTTTTTGATCTGTTAAAAAAAAAAAAAAAAAGCAGTGAGACAGGAGTTGAGTGATTCATTCAAATTATCACACAACTCATCAGTGGTGGAATTGGCACTTGGAGCTGGAAGGCAAATCATGCTTTCCAATAATAGGTCCTATGCCTTCTTCTCCCATCCCCACCCCTACTTTTAAAGTCTCTACTCTTTGATAGACTGACCCAGAGTCAGGATCTGATAGAAGTGTGGACAGGGAGAGATGAGTCTGTGGACACACCATCCCAAACACACCGATCTCCCTGGTGTTGGAAGCTAAGCGGTCTAATTAGTGCTTGGATGGGAGACAGGGAGAGATGAAGCTGGGTATAGCAGGCAGAGGATGGATCTGAGCCTGGGGAGGGGAATGGGAAAGCTGACTGCAAGCCAACTACAACCACAGGAGCCTCCTCGCTCAACCTGTCTGGATCCCCACAAGTATGAGCTTCCAGAGAAAGAGCATCTAAAAGCGAGAGCCCAATGGCATCAGCATTATAATGAAGCAAGCACTCTTAGTGCAAATGAGAACTGGAGTCTGGTGAGCCTTGGCCAAGGGCCCCCCATGCATGCAGCACAGACTGATGAGGCGATGGACAATTGTCCTGTGCCCAGTGATGACAGCCTGGGCAGCCAGAATATTAATTTCCTGGTGTAGAGGAGAATTCAGACTTGGAGTGCCTCATGATGTCTGCCTAAGGTCCACGGAACACCAGCATCCTGGGCAAAGCATGCTACTGGTAAAAAAAAGCCATTTACTAAATGTGTGACCTGGGCAAGCCACCTTCCATGGCCTCTCAGCCTTGGTTTCCCTTCCTGGGAAGTGAGAAGCATGGTGCCTGCCCTGGCCTTTGTGCTGTTATGCTAGAATTCGGGACCCCCAAAGACCACCAGAGACCCAAGATCGATGTAAGCAGCAAAGAGGTGTTTATTGCGAGCTAGCTCGGTCCTCCGCGTGCACACACACAGCAACTGGTGACGCTGAGAGGCCCCGAGCCCAGAGTTTGCAGCAGTTTTATACATTCTTTGGGGAGGGCAGGGACTTCACATACATCATAGCAAATAATCACACACCGCGAGAAAATCAAATAACAACTCTAAAACATGATTAGCACATTCACTGGAGGGAACAAGTTGGGTAGGGGTGATTGGTCAGTACAAAAGGGGTATTCATTTGAACTGATTGGCTTAAGCCAAGAGGGGTGTACGTGCTGAACTACATGGTTTCCCAACACCATAAACTACTGGGAGGGTCATCTGGCATCCCAGGTATTTCCCTGTCTCATGCTGATTGGTGGCTGCTAGGGGACTGCTATGGATCCCCAACTAGCCTGACTAAGTCAGGGACACCTGGCGCAGCAGATCTCTCCTGTTATTTGTAGATAAACAACTTAGCAGGATGGGAATGTGCTTAGGAGTGCTCTGTGGGTCTTTCCAAGGACAAAGGCCATGTCCCTTCCTTGGACAGGTTTTGCTCTGAGATAGAGGCTGGTTTTTCAGTGCCTCTGCCTGGGCCCCAGGGCTGGTGTGAACATGAAATGAGCACATCCAGTCTTGAGAGTGATTCAAGAAAGTCTAAAGTCCTAAGCAGCACACAGCTTTGTTGTTTTACAATTGTAATGGCTCACCCCAGAGAAACTTGCATCAGGCAGGGAGCCTTGGAGCCAGAAACCAACCACATTGGGGTGCAAAGGGGTGTGAAGAGTTCAAGGGTCTGCAGGAGGAGTTGAGGGTGATAGACAGAAGCAGACATCTCTCACAGTTAACTCTTACTCCCCCAATTCTCTCTGTTTTGTGATTCTAGGAAAATAATCTGATCTTCTATGAATGCAGCGCCCATTCTGGTCACAATACCAAGGAGTCCCTGCTCCATCTAGCCAGGTAGGAAGACAGTCAGCAGGTGGAGGAATCTTCTGACCAACCTGTGCCAGGCCTGATGGGGGCCTGTGTTCACCTCCACCCAAACCATACCCCTGGGCCCTCCCTCTGTGTGGGCTCCAGTGCTCTGAGTTCAGGCTGTGGGGACCACCGCCTTTGTGTGGGATTTCAGCCATAAGGTGCAGCCTTCTGAAACACAGTAATGAAGAGAAAGGAAGCATCCCTGCCTGTCACCCCCATTGCAGTCTTCTTCTGAGTCTTAAAGGCTGCTTTTTTGCAGAGATTCTTTTTTAAATGCAGATGCTCTTGGGAAAGGTCATATTAGTGGTCCCTCAGTACTGGCTAATATCAAAGCAGGGATTAGTTGGTAGCCAGCTGGGAACAAGCCTGGGTTATAATAGGAGTTCCTGGGGTGGAGGGGGAGGAACCAGAAAGAGGCAGGGCTGTGATGGAGACTCAGTCAGAGGTACCCACAGTCATGGTGCTAAAAGGACCAGTCACATAGAAAGATTTGTTCCTTAAGACCCTGCCTACGCCAAATATTTAGAAAACAAAACCACACTGGGAGCCATTGTCAATACGTAGGCATCCATTCATTCATCTCTCCATCTGGGCATTCATTCCATTCCATCCATCCACCTATCCACCCAATAAATACTTAATAGTGCTCCTGTCACACTCAGCCCTCATGCTGGGGCATTTGAAATATTTGAATTTGAGTAATTAAGAACCCAGAGCAACTCTTCCAAGCATTGGAGGTATTATGGATATGGTACGTACTCTGGGGAAAGTTCTAGAATTTCCTCTGCCTCTGACTCCCTGGGTAAGGCTCTCCAAGCTTTGTTGGTAATGTAGGAACATCAATCACCCTCTCACAGGTTGTTGTGAGAATCAAAGGAGACGTAGAAGATGAAAGTATTTTGAGAGCATAAAACAGGGATAAGACGCTTACCATTATTTTTAATCCCTCACCTCCTACATTTCATCTGGAGCTGTGGCCACATGGTGCAGCCCTTCTGTAGAGTTAACAACCAATAAATCTATTTTCTGAGCCCGAACAGTGTGCCAATCACGGTGATAGGCTGTGGAGACACAGAGGTAAAGGCCAAAGCTCTGCCTTGAAGCAGCTCATACTACGGTGAGGGATATGGCCAAAAGCATTATGACTCTGGGTGATGGGGTTCCAAGAGAAAAGGCTCAGAGTCAAATCAAGTGAGAGTCAAGAGGGACTTTTAGAGAAGGTGTTTTGAAGAATATGTATTGATTAAACCCTTTGGCTTTACAATTAGAGTCACACTCCTGTCCTACCCACAGGAGACTTAAACACGTTGTCTGATTCTCTGGTGAAGTGGGGTGCTCTCTAAATTACTCCAAAGATCTGTATCCTATAAGGGTGCCTAGTCCATGCAGCCAGCCCCCAAACTTAACAGCTTTTCTGCCACTGACACTGTTTCTTGCCTTCTCCCAGGTTCCTCAAGGAACATGAAGACACAGTAAGGATGGACACCATTCAGGTTGGTCGCCCTGCCAAGAAGAAATCCTGCTGTGGCGGATAGCAGGGACTATTTTCAAGGACTAGTCCCACAGAGCCTAAGATTTCAGGGCTACCCCAATCCTGCAAATGGGCTGCTGTGTGGCACCACCTGGCCAGGCCCGTGCAGAGCTATGTCTTTGTCCTAACTTGCCTCCCCCAAAGGAAGGAGGCACATGTGGTCAGGAATGATACTCTTAGAGCATTGTGGAGTCTATGCTCTGCTTTCTCTGCTAGACCCCAAATGCCTATAAATTTTTATTGTGTTTTGTTTTCCTCCAGCCTGGTTTCCTGGGGGAAAGAAACACAAGGGCTTTTCCAGAAAAGCCACAATATGCCTTCTCCACCTCCCATCTCCTCCCCTTGTCCTTAGGAGCCTCTGTACTACAGTTGCCATGGCAACCATGCAGGGCAGACTTGCAGCTTCCTGTGGGCCAAAATGGACCACTTGGGCAAGGCCAGGGTGTCTTGTCTTGCTTTGGACCCTATTCTCCAGAGGTCAAAGTAATGTTCTTGATGTGTACTTCATGAACTTCAAGGGCCCTGAGTTGCTGAGAGAAGCAAACCAGGAACCTATATTCTAAGCTGCCCCTCCAGCTCCAGCCCAGGGGCTCTGCTCTTTCCCTAATCCCAAACTTTGGAGCCTCTCAGTGGTCACAGTGCCCACTGGCTCTACCCTCTCGAGCTCTCTGGAGCAGTGCCTCACAAAGAATCCACAGCCTTTCCTGCCACAGCTACCCTCGCCCCCAACCCTGACTCCAGGGTAAACTGTGGGTGACAAATTCTTGCCTGGAGTTAGGGAGTGGGCTTATTTCCTACTTAACTTTGAATAAGAGATGAAAAGAACCAAGGGGAAAACCATCTGCTGCAGAAAAAAGCGACCATTTCTGGAGGGTATGAATAAGGTCTATATAGCTATATAAAAGCCATTTTCTAAATGTTTCTCAAAATAGCTCTTCAAAAAACCATACATGATGATTAACAGGGTAGATTGGCAGGCCGGCAGTGAGGCCCAACACTAGGTCCATAGTTACCGGCTTCATTATATTTTATTTTCCTTTATTCCAAGGGACTGCATGGCTGTGATGTTGACATTTTGCTGGTGTTTGAGAAGCAAACCGAGTGTAACTGGTGGCTTTGCCACAGGGCACTTGGACTGCAGGAACAATCAGGGCCCCTGTGGGGTTCCTTAGGCTGGGTGGCAGTATATTCCCAGACGCTAGCCAGGTTCCAGCATCATTGGCTGGCTGTCGGGGTGCTGGCAAGGACATTTTTGCCCTGGGTGGCCGATTAGATAAAAAGGTCACAAAGATCATGGCCAGTTATAAGTTCAGGGCTGCAGACTCAGGTCCTAGAGGAAAGTGGGTGGAACATACTCAAGGGGAGCACACTGAGACAGAGGGCAGAAGGTGTCCACAGGCCTCCAAGAAGATGGTTAAAGACACCCCCACACAGCCAAATGGACAGGGGAGAAGCCACTAACTAGAGTTCCCAAGGATGTTGCTCCAGCCTCCTCCCCAGGCCCCAAACACTCAGAGCCCCTGTAGGTCTCCGGCAAGTGCCTCTTTGCAGTCTTCTCTCTCACTGCTCCAGCACTTGTAGGGGGAGCCCATAGAGGTGCCAAACAATATCCAAGCCTGAGCTCCTGAAAATGCTCCATAATCTTAGCAAGCTAGCTTCCTCCCTGGGCCCCCGCCTCTACTAGAAAATGGAGGGAGGGGCTACTTGATGCTCCAGAGCTTCCTGCTCAGATGCTTACAGTGGCATATTCACTTTCCTTCATCAGTGGCCCCAGACCTCACTCTGAAGAACTCACAGGAAACTCCTTTCCTAAGGGAAGGGCGGTGGTGGCAGCCTCATAATTGGACTTTGGCAGGAAAGGGGGATGTGTGGGACACCCAGAGGTGGCCCTCAATACCTCTGTGTATGTGGGGTGGGCAGTAGAAGGTAGTGATGGTCATGGAGAGAGAAAACCAGGAGGAGGAGCAGGTTACCCCTGGGGTTCCCTAAGCCCACAGACGCCTTTATTCAAGTCACTTGTCCCTTTCCAGGTTACATTTTTCCCATACAGAGGAGGGTATGACCACACTGGTGCCAGGCCTTCTGGCATGTGGGGTAACTCCCATGGTTCTTCACAGGTCCAGGCAGAGAAGCAGGGGCAGGGACACCTTTGCTGCTCCCTTCTCCAGCCTCACTGTAAAAGAGAAGAGAAGAGGGGACAGCAGGGGACTCGGTGTAATACTTGTCCCCTGCTCACAACCTCCCCTCCTCCCATTTCTTTTAAGCTATCATGTGGGTCAGAGATACCCACATGGTGTCACCCACTGACAGACGACTCAGAAGAACCTTCTGGCTCCAACCCATTTGGTAGTGACCTTGACCTGAACCCAGTTTTCTCATTCACGTGTAGATTGGAGGTTTCAATGCCTACCTCACAGGGATATTTCAAATGCTTAAGGGGGTAATGGAGGTGAAGTATTTAGCACAGTACCAAGTAGGTCTTAATAAGCCAGGTCAATTTGGGTTGTCAACATTGAGTCGCTACCTAGCCCGTTTGCCTTGCTTCAGTTTCAAATTTGGATCCAGCTGACAATTACCAAGCATCTACCCTGAACTGAGCCCTTTTATAAACACTACCTCAGTGAGTGTCTCTGCCCAGCCCATTCCCTAGGTTTTGAGCTCAGAGCTGGCTTTGTCTCATGGCCTTGCTGTCCCTTGCTCTTGTTTGTTCTCTGCCTAGCAGAGCCTGATGCATGATTTCAGCCCCAATCTATGGTTCCCTCCCTCTGGAGAGTTTTTTGTCTTCATTTCTTCAAATATTCTTTCTACCTCTTTCTCCTTCTCCTTTCCTTCTGGAACTTTTATTGTACATATCTGGCACTCTTGATGGTGTCCCTCAGGTTTCTGAGACTCTGTTCTTCCTTTTTCATTGTGTCCCTCAGAGTGGCTAATCACAGTTAACCTATTTTCAAGTTCATTTATTCTTCCTTCTACCTAATCAAATAGGAATTTTATGCACATTTTAGTGCATTTTTCATTTCCTTTATTGGATTTTTCAACTCCAGAGTTTCTATTTGGTACCATATCATAATCGTTCTGTCTTTATCGATCTTCTTTACTTAGTAGGACATTATTCTCATCCTTTCCTCTTATTCTTTGGACATGTCTTATTTTAGGTGTTTAAACATACTTCAGTTTATATTTAAAATCTCAAACCTTCCCTGGGCACAAATCAAGTTCTACTCACCATTCCCTGCTTCCTTTCTCACATTCTACAAAACACAACTGGGATCTGGTTCCATCGCTTAACTCCACTTCTGACCACCTACCCTAAGTCTCTCCTTTCTTCTGAATTGAAGAAGGGAAGAGGGCCTTGAGACCTGAGAGACCCTCCCTTCCACCTGAGCTTCTAGATGCCCTGCTGCCTGCTGGAGGCGAGCTGCTCAGGGAGGTGCTCAGTCCCTTGGGGAAGTCAGGGGAGGACAGACATCCTCAGGCAGGACTCCCTGTGCTGGCAAGAGCACCCTGCAAAGCTCTGCTCAGAAGGGATGGATGTGGGAAGACAGCACACCAGATCTGAAGCTTGAAATGAAAAGGCAGTTTACTTCAACATAAATAAAAATTACAGTCCACAAGCATAGAAGTCCCAAGACCTATGTGGTATGTTCCTGCAGGTTGGAATTAAAGCCTCAACTTGGCTTCAGGGGCTGGCCCGGGAAGTACTGCCACCTCTCCTCCTTTCACCCAAGAATCAGAAAGAGGCTAAACAAATTCAATCAAAAGCCACAGGTCTTTCTTTATGGGTTATTCCTCCCTCCTTATAGAGAGGGGTGATTGACAGGATGCAAGCACTTTCGGAACGTCCAACACCCATTCCTACCTCTGTTGGTGTTTCTATTAATAGAGTTACCAGCAATAGCAATAACGAAGAACATCATAACTCCACCTTTCACCCAATTCAGCGGAGCCAATTTAATCAAAGTGCCCTACTTAGGAGAACAGTGCTGGAAATGATGGGGGTTGGGAAGCCATATGGTGCTTGGCAGACAACTGAAATCAATGTGGAAACTGAGGAGCACAGGCGAGGCTGTGTCATTTATCACTCTGGGGCCAGGGCTGAGTCAGGTCCAAGCACTGACCCTTGTTCCAAATTGGGACCTCATCAAGGCTTTGGCTAGGATTCAAAAGTGGTACTTGGAGACCCTTGTCATAGCACCAGGAGACTTTTCTTCCTACAAATGAGGACTCCTAGGACCAATAATGCCTGTACTATCATAATGAATTATGGCTGGATCTATCTGACCTATAAAAATAAATACTGCTCATAAAAACACTGCACCACTAAGCAAAAATGTCTGAAGAATGCAGAGAGAATGGGATTGCATTCTTTTAAAACTTGGGAACAAGAATTGAAACATGTGGATGTGGAACTCAGCAGGATTTGAGAAAGGTAGGGGTGGAAGTGGGATTCACTGAGCAGGTGCAGCACGGCATCAAAGGCAGAGCATTGGGTGTGGTCCAACAACAGGTGCACGGTCTCCCGACCCCTTTGTAATGATGCTAGTTGTGCCACTTTGCAGGATGGTTATGCAGACATGCTGCCTACTAGGCTCTAAAGAGCAAAAGACTGGACTAGGAACTGGATCAGGTTATGTAGGGCAGGAACATTCATCTCTGAGCCTCACATTTGGTCCAGTGTCTAGCAAACTGTGTTTGCCTGATAGGAGTTGAAAACAGAGCATCATTTCTTTAGAACAAGGTCGTCACCCCACACCCCCAAAGGCTGGAGCTGCTTCACTGGAACCCCAGGGTCTCCAAAACTGGACAACTGAGTCTCTGTGGCTTGGGCAGATCAATTGAGTTTTGCCTCCCTGGTTCAAATGAGGTGCTGTCTCTGCTTTTTGCAAGAACATCCTGGGGAGCATTCCAGCTGCTGCGATTCAATTGCCTTCAATGTGATGCCCATCAAAGCACCCTCTCTCACCCCCCTGCAGCCTCCCCAGCTGCTGCCAGTGGCAATATATTATCTTCAGGCAGCCAATGTCTCAATTTAACTTGGATTCCATGCCTCTGTGCATACAAGATGCGTCCCTTCCCAGTTCTCTTTCTTCCTGGTGTGGAACCAGCTGTACGTACCCAATTGTGCCTCTCCCAAAAGCTTTCTCTAGCCTCTTCAGAATAAGGACCTGCATACAAATTATGCAACCATGGGCAAAACCTGGAACAGTTGGATGCTCTGAATCCACATCCACATCTGTAAAATAGTACTCTCTGCCTTACCTCCCCTCCCCCAAGGTAGTGGGAAAGCAAATGAGAAGTCTAGGGAAAGAGCTTAATCGACGGAAAGGCTTTAAACAACATCATCACCTGCTCCCCCACCCAACTCTGCACCCTATGTAAGAGACCAAAGCCCAACAAAGTGGGTTAGAAAGAATGTTCCCTGTAACTTGGAGAAGCTGCGGTCACGGGTCAAAGAACTTCCCATTTCTCTTTGAAAGGAGAATAAGTAAAACTTGCATTCCTTTCAACTAGACACTTTCATGTAAGTACACTTTGTTTCTTTCTACCATGCTTTTTTGGGGCACCAGGAATGGAACCCAGGGAGCTTAACCACTGAGCCATATCCCCAAGTCCCCAAACCCCTATGCCCTGCATTTTAAAAAATTTTGAGATGGGTTCTTGCTAAGTTGCTTATTAGGGCCTTGCTAAATTCCTGAGGCTGGCTTTGAATTTGCAGTCTTCCTGCCTCAGCCTCCCCCAAGTTATTGTGATTATAGGCGTGCACCATCCCACCCATCTCTACCATGCATTAAAGTTGCATAGGGGGCCAGGGTCGCAGAATACAAGGTCTTGCTGGCAAGGTTCTGACTTTCATTTTTGTATATAGCAGGGCCTGGTACAGAAGAGACACTAGGTGGGTGAATGGATGAGTTTGCTGCCCAGGGCAGACTTTTAGAGAGTGCCTTCCTAAAGCACCCACCTTTGTATATGTGGGTTATAAAGCACTTTCACATCAGGGTGGTGGATACTTCTGGAGATGACTGGTGGTGGTGACTACACATGCAATATTGTGAACGTACTTAATGCCGTTGAATTGCACATTTTGATATAGTTAAAATTGTAGATTTTATGTTATGTATAGTTTACTACAATAAAAATTAAAAACAAAACAAAAAAAATGTTCACAAGCTTGTATGTTCCATGAAGAAAAGGAGTGATTCTTTTCTATCCCCAGCAACTGAAACCCTAAGCTGCTCTGGTTGGTCTTGGGAAACATCAAGGGATGAGGGAGCTAGAAAGCAAGACGAGCGGCGGGTGGGGAGGCCTAGAAGCCCACCAGTATAGATTAACAGCCGCTGCAACACCTGAGGGCATCCCCGCGGGGACCTCCACCCAGCCCTCCTGGACTCTGCAGAGGGAGCCTCTGTGCTCCTGGTACTTCCGCCCCTCACAGACTTCTCTTTGCGACTTTGCCCCCATCATCTGTAGATGGACTCCCTGTTGGTGGGAACTCTGTCCTGCATGCCAACAGGAGCACCTAGCCTGGCCTAGAGTAGCTAGTTTTAGGTGACAACTCAAAAATGATGGAAGTCCTTGGTTGTTCTTGGAATTTTGTCGCATTGACTAGAGCAGGAAATACATTCATGAGCACTCCAAAATATTTTGGTCTTGCACACATTTTCTTTATAATCATTTATGGTAAAGAAGGATTAAAGTAGAAGTGGGAACCTGAGTGCTCCGTTCAAGGAGGAAGGCCTGACTTTGGCATTAAGCTTGTTCTGAGTGACTCATGGGGGCAGGACTAGAATCAGGGAAGGCCAGTTTATCCCAAAGGAGTTTATCTCAGCACTGTTGAGCATTGGGCCAGGCTGCCTGCTAGGAAGTGAGCTCCCTGACACTTGGTTCTTAGGAATGCTGGGAAGAAAGGAGACACAATGAATGAGAAGGTCCCAGCCTCCACCTTGCCATTCTAGAGATCCGAGTGAAGTGAAGGATGTAACCTCTTCTCCCATCGACTGTCTTCTTTCCCTCCCTCTCTCTGTGATCCCCAGTCATGGAGAGGATGGCACCTGGCCTGAAAGCCTAGCCCAGAGCGCTTCGTGCTCCACAGCTTCCCAGGCGTGGGCAGAGGTGCTGAGTCCTGCTGGAGCCCTGCCAGCTTCTCCATCGTGGCAAGTGAAATTACCAGCTTCACAGTGTGGGGCTATTTAAATCAGCTTTTCATGTCTGATGGATTTAAAAATATGCTAGGAGTCCACATCTTACATACAAGAAACACAAACAAGCAGATGAGGCTGTATTCTCCTTCTTCCACGTGCCCTCCCGGCCCTCTGTCCCCTTCCTCCAGCTCTCCTCCCCTGCCCCCTCCCAAAGCAGTTTCCATTCATGAGGCCCCTCTCCCCCGACTCCCCACACTGCCCCTTCTCTCAGTGGCTCTGCTCTGTGGGAACCGAGGAGGTTGCCCACTGCAGCGTAAAGGAGGGGTTTTACCCCGGCCACTCCTCATCTGCCCTGTACAGTCTTTGGCACTGAATAGTGTGGGCACAGGAAGCATGGGACTGACCTGCCTTCACCCAGCTCCCTCAGGTCCCAGGTGAGAAAGGAGACTGTGACCCAGGTGGGAGGAGGGACTTGCCCAGAGCTTAAGATCAGTGGGCAACCAGTGTGGCTCCCGGCCCAAAGCTCTTGCCACCCACATCAACTCAACCCAGGCCTTCCAAAGTTTCCACTGAGTGCCCAGGAACGGGGGTGAGTGTCCCCCAAGCCACACAGGTGGAGCATTTCAACCCCACACTCTCTGTATTGCACCAATGAGAGTTTCACAGTTCTTTGCACAGCAGAGTCCCCATTCTGTCCCTTCATCACAAAGGACAGTGTCCACCGGGAACCTTTCTGGGGCCTTGACCCACTTCCATTGACCTAACCCAATTTCTCTTGCTATAAATTAAGTCACATTTCCTCCAATCCCTGAGCGTCATCTTTGAAATTTGATGTGACCCCACAGCACATCCTCCATCTGTGGCAGGTAGCTGTTCCCTGGCTAGTGCCACTGGCCCTGATGGAACTGTGTACACAGTGAACTGTGTACACAGTGACCCCAGCCCGCCCAGCCCATGCAAGGCTCCTGGCTGTAGTGCTCAACCTCGGGTGCATGTTCAAATCACCTGGGGAACTTTCTCTATTTTTTTTGCTAGTTTATTTTCATTTATCTTACTTTTAACTGTTTTATTTATTTTATTACTAAAAAAAAAACAAAGCCAATCCTTGCCACCTCCACCCCCCTCCACCTGAGATTCTGATTTAATTAAAAGTTGGAAGAGTTTCATTTTTAATTGTTTAACATTACTATCATTAGCAACAATGCTAGTGAAATGGAATAATAGTGAAAAACTCCTAAACGTGCAAATGATGCTGTGATTTTTGGATCTGCTCTTTGATGCCACCATGTCTTTGCCCAAGCCATTCCCTGTGTCTGGAGGCTTTCAGAGAATTTCAGCAACTTGCCTATGCCATGCAGTGGGTCCATAGTAAAGCACATGGCTTGACAATGTTCTGAGGGTCCCCAGCCCTGCCCAGGCCTCTGACAGCAGATCAACCCTGATTGGTCATCGACAGGAGGAGGAGGTGGGGCTCAGGGTCCTGGACACACATGCTCTGAGGAACCATGCTGGCTACCTGTTCCAATGTCAGCCCTGACACTGTTAGGAAAGCGGATTCTCAGAAAGGGGGCGGGGGCGTGGGAATCATAGACTGCAAGCCTCAAGCCCAATTCAACTCCATGTCTTCTCCACTACTTGGAGTTCTCCAGGCCATAGTCTCCTCCACGAATGTGAATAACCAAAGCCAGCTGTGGCATATGGACTGAAGGGAGTGAGTTTACAAGATACTTCTATGATGCTCTGGGGAATCTTTTCTGTCAGTGAAAATTGGGGGTGGGAGAAAGTGAGGCCCGCCCCCAAAGCACGACTAGCAAGCAGCAGAGCTGAGACTTGTCTGGCCCCAGGACCCACAGGTGCAGGGCCAAAGGCTCTGCATTTACACATGGCTCACTGCCCTCAGTGTCCCCCCGCTGGCCTTCCCCCCCTTGGCCTCCTCTGAGTCTGGACAACTTCCCAATGGTCTCCCCTCACAAAGTCCTTAGCAGCCACATCTCCAGAGCCGCCTCGATAGAAACTCCTTGGGGAGTGACACCTGAAAGAGAATCTAATCAGATGGGCAATTTTAGCAAAGACAAATTAACTCCATGTCTGAATAAGAGTCACCCAGCCCTGGCCAGCCAGCAGCCAGCATCCTTAATTCCCTGTCCTCTCTGTTATTAAAATGATCTTCCAAGAGATAACCCATCTCTATG